CCGCTGTGTGGTGCCAGGCTACTGTACTGCTGTGTGTGACCTGATACTGTACTGCTGTGTGGTGGCAGACTACTGTACTGCTGTGTGGTGCCCGACTACTGTACCGCTGTGTGGTGCCAGGCTACTGTACCGCTGTGTGGTGCCAGGCTACTGTACTGCTGTGTGGTGCCAAGCTACTGTACTGCTGTGTGGTGCCAGGCTACTGTACCGCTCTGTAGTGCCACACTACTGTACTTTTGAGGGTGCCAGGCTGCTGTACTGCTGTATGGTGCCAGGCTATTGTACTGCTGTGTAGTGCCAGGCTACTGTACCGATGTGCAATGCCAGGCTACTGTACTGCTTTTTGGTGCCAGGCTACTGTACTGCTTTTTGGTGCCAGGCTATTTTACCACTGTGTGGTGCTTGGCTTCTGTACTGCTGTGTGGTGCCAGGCTACTGTAGTGCCCTGTGGCGCCAGGCTACAGTACTGTTGAGGGTGCCAGGCTACTGTACTGCTGTGTGGTGCTAGGCTACTCTACTGTTGGGGGTACCAGGCTTCTGTACTGCTTTGTGGTGCCAGGCTAATGTAATGTTCTGTGGTGCCAGGCTACTGTACTGCTGTGTCGTGCCAAGCTACTGTAATACTGTGTGGTGCCAGTCATCTGTACTGCTGTGTGGTGCCCGGCTACTGTACTGCTGTGTGGTGCCAGGCAACTATACTGCTGTGTGATACCAATCTACTGTACTGCTGTGTAGTGCCAGGCTACTGTACTGCTGTGTGGGGCCATGCTACTGTACTGCTGTGTGTGGCCAGGCTACTGTACTGCTGTGTGAGGCCAGGCTACTGTACTGAGGTGTGGTGCCCTCTACTATACTGCGGTGTGGTGCCAGGCTACTGTACTGTTGTGTGGTGCTGGGCTATTGTACTGTTGTGAGGAGCTAGGCTACTGTAATGCTGTGTGGTGCCAGGCTACTGTACTGCTGAGGGTGCCAAACTACTGTATTGTCAAGGGTGCCAGGCTACTGTACTGCTGTGTGGTGCCAGGCTACTGTACTGTTGTGTGGTGTCAGGCTAATGTAATGTTCTGTGTTGCTAGGCTACTCTAGTGTTGAGGGTGCCAGGCTACTGTACTGCTGAGGGTGCCAAGCTACTGTATTGTCAAGGGTGCCAGGCTACTATACAGTTGTGTGGTGCCTGGCTACTGTACTGCTGTGTGGTGCCAGGCTACTGTACTGTTGTGTAGTGCAAAGCTACTGTACTGCTGTGTGGTGCAGGCAACTGTACTGTTAAGGGTGTCAGGCTACTGTACTGCTGAGGGTGCCAAGCTACTGTACTGTCAAGGGTGCCAGGCTACTGTGCTGCTGTGTTGTGCAAGGCTACTGTACTGCTGTGTAGTGCCAGGCTACTGTACTGCTATGTGGTGCCAGGCTACTGTAATGCTGTGTGGTGACAGGCTTCTGTACTGCTGTGTGGTGCCAGGCTACTGTACTGCTGGGAGGTCCCAGGCTACTGTACTGCTGTGTGGTGCCCAGCTACTGTACTTCTGTGTGGTGCCACTCTACAGTACTGCTGTGTGGGGCCAGGCTACTGTACTCCTGTGTGGTGCCAGGCTACTGTACTGTTGTGAGGTGCTAGGCTACTGTACAGTTGTGTGGTGCCAGGCTGCTGTACTGCTGTGAGTGGCCAGGCTACTGTAGTGATGTGTTGTGACAATTTACTGTACTGATGTGTGGTGACAGGCTACGGTTCTGCTATGTTGTGCCAGGCTACTGTACTGCTGTGAGGTGCCAGACTATTGTACTGCTGTGTGGTGCCAGGTTACTGTACTGCTGTGGTGGCAGGCTTCTGTACTGCTGTGTGGTGCCAGGCTACTGTACTGCTGTGGTGCCAGGCTACTGTACTGTCGTGGGGTTCCAGACTACTGTACTGCTGTGTCGTGCCAGACTACTGTACTGCTGTGGTGCCAGGCTTTAGTACTGCTGTGTGGTGCCAGGCTACTGTACTGTTGTGGGGTGCCAGGCTACTGTACTGCTCTGTCGTGCCAGGCTACTGTACTGCCGTGGTGCCAGGTTACTGTGCTACTGTGTGGTGCCATGCTACTGTACTGCTGTGGTGCAAATCTACTGTGCTGCTGTGTGGTGCCAGGCTACTGTACTGCTGTGTGGGGCCAGGCTACTGTACTGCTGTGTGGTGCTAGACTTCTGTACTGCTGTTTGATTCTAGGCTACTGTACTGTTGTGTGGTGCTAGGCTACTGTACTGTTGTGTGGTGCTAGGTTTCTGTACTGTTGTGTGGTGCCAGGCTACTGTACTGTTGTGTGTTTCCAGGCCACTATACTGTTGTGTGGTACCGGGCTTCTGTACTGTTGGAAGGTGCTTGGCTACTGTACAGTTGTGTGGTGCCAGGCTATGGGACTGCGGTGTGGTTCCAGGCTACTGTACTGTTGAGGGTGCCAGGCTACTGTATTGCTGTGTGGTGCCAGGCTACTGTACTGTTGAGGGTTCAAGGACTGTATTGCTGTGTGGTGCAAGGCTACTGTACTGTTGTGTGGTGCTGTGCTACTGTACCTCTGTGTGGTGCCAGGCTACTGCACTGTTGTCAGGTGCCATTCTACTGTATTGTTGTGAGGTTTTAGGCTACTGTACTCTTGTGTGTTGACAGGGTACTCTACTGTTGTGAGGTGCCAGGCTACTGTACTGTTGAGGGTGCCAGGCTACTGTACTGTTGTGTGGTGCCAGGCTACTATACTCCAGTGTGGTGCTAGGCTACTGTACTGTTGAGGGTGCCAGGCTACTATACTGTTGTGTGGTGCCAGGCTACTGTACTGCTGTGTAGTGCCAGGCTACTGAACTGTTGTGTGGTGCCAGGCTACTGTACTGCTGTGTGGTGCAACCAACTGTACTGTTAAGGGTGCCAGGCTACTGCACTGTTGAGGGTGCCAGACTACTGTACTGCTGTGGGGAGCCAGGCTACTGTACTGTTGAGGGTGCTAGGCTACTGTACTGTTGAGGGTGCCAGGCTACTGAACTGCTGTGTGGTGCCAGGCAACTGTACTGCTGTGTGGTGCTTGACTTCTGTACTGCTGTGTGGTGCCAAGCTACTGTACTGCTGTTTTGTGCCAGGCTACTGTACCGCTGTGCAATGCCAGGCTACTGTACTGTTTTTTGGTGCCAGGCTATTTTACCACTGTGTGGTGCTTGACTTCTGTACTGCTGTGTGGCGCCAGGCTACAGTACTGTAGAGAGTGCCAGGCTACTGTACTGCTGTGTGGTGCTAGGCTACTGTACTGTTGAGAGTGCCAGGCTTCTGTACTGCTCTGTGGTGCCAGGCTACTGTACTGCTGTGTCGTGCTAAGCTACTGTAATACTGAGTGGTGCCAGTCATCTGTACTGCTGTGTGGTGCCCGGCTACTGTACTGCTGTGTGGTGCCAGGTAACTATACTGCTGTGTGATGCCAAGCTACTGTACTGCTGTGTAGTGCCAGGCTACTGTACTGCTGTGTGGTGCCCGGCTACTACACTGCTGTGTGGTGCCAGGCTACTGTACTGCCGTGTAGTGCTGGGCTACTGTACTGCAGTGTGGTGCCAGGCTACTGTACTGCTGAGGGTGCCAAGCTACTGTACTGTCAAGGGTGCCAGGCTACTGTACTGCTGTGTGGTGCCAGGCTTCTGTACTGCTGTGTTGTGCCAGGCTAATGTAATGTTCTGTGTTGCTAGGCTACTCTAGTGTTGAGGGTGCCAGGCTACTATACTGTTGTGTGGTGCCAGGCTACTGTACTGCTGTGTGGTGCCAGGCTACTGTACTGTTGTGTAGTGCAAGGCTACTGTACCAACCCGTCCTCTTACAAATAACGTCACCTTTGGCTTGTATGCGAACTGTACTGCTGTGTGGTGCAGGCAACTGTACTGTTAAGGGTGCCAGGCTACTGTACTGATGAGGGTGCCAAGCTACTGTACTGTCAAGGGTGCCAGGTTTCTGTCCTGCTGTGTGGTGCAAGGCTACTGTACTCTTGTGTGGTGCCAGTCTAATGTAATGTTCTGTGGTGCTAGGCTACTGTACTCCTGTGTGGTGCTGGCTACTGTACTGTTGTGTAGTGCCAGGCTACTGTACTGCTGTGTGGTGCCAGGCTACTGTACTGCTGTGTGGTGCCAGGCTTCTGTACTGCTGTTTGTTGCCCGGCTACTGTACTGCTGGGAGGTACCAGGCTACTCTACTGCTGTGTGGTGCCCAGCTACTGTACTTATGTGTGGTGCCAGGCTACTGTACTGCTGTGTGGTACTAGACTTCTGTACTGCTGTTTGGTGATAGGCTACTGTATTGTTGTGTGGTGCTAGGCTACTGTACTGTTGTGTGGTGCCAGGCTACTGTACTGTTGTGTGTTTTCAGGCCACTATACTGTTGTGTGGTACCGGGCTACTGTACTGTTGGAAGGTGCTTGGCTATTGTACTGTTGAGGGTGACAGGCTACTGTACTGTTGTGTGGAGCCAGGCTACTGTACTGTTGTGAGGTGCTAGGCTACTGTACTGTTGTGAGGTGCTAGGTTACTGTACTGTTGTGTGTTGCCAAGCTACTGTACCCCTGTTTGGTGCCAGGCAACTGTACTGCTGTGTGGTGCCAGGCTACTGTACTGCTGTGTGGTCCCAGGCTACTGTACTGCTGTGTGGTGCCAGGCTACTGTACTGCTGTGTGGGTGCCAGGCTACTGTACTGCTGAGTGGTGCCAGGCTACTGTACTGCTGTGTGGTGCCAGGCTACCGTACTGCTGTGTGGTACCAGGTTACTGTACCGCAGTGTGGTGCCAAGCTACTGTACCACTGTGTGGTGCCAGGCTACTCTACTGCTGTGTGGCGCCAGTCTACTGTACCGTAATATAGTGTCTCTATTTCCCTACTGTTTTTCAATATTAATCCAAAAGTCAGTACTTATCTTTCCAGTCCTTAATGATAATCCAAAGCAATTTTATCTATGTTATCTTCTCCATCTCATTACATCCCAGCATTTCTTTACATCTCTTTTTCTCCCCTTTCAGACGAGGATGAGGGCGCTGTGCTTCCTGTTGGTGGTCTGTGGAGCCCTGGCTGCCGGTACGACCATCTTGTAAACTTCTCAATATCTGTCTCCCATCATCGTCTCCACAGTTGATCTTCCAGGCAGTTATTGCTAGTCGCTGGTGGAGACTCGTCACACTCGTCACACACTGCTAACTCCTGTCCATACTCGTCACCTGACTCACGGCCACACCATATTCACACGCCACACACCCATGGATTAACTCCCGGCCACACCCATCCTCTCATCCGCTGCCACTATATCCACACTCATCCTTTCACCCACTGTCACTATATCCACACTCATCCTCTCACCCACTACCACTATATCCACACCCATCCTTTCACCCACTACCACTATATCCACACTCATCCTTTCACCCACTGCCACTTTATCCACACTCATCCTTTCACCCACTGCCACTATATCCACACTCATCCTTTCACCCATTGCCACTTTATCCACACTCATCCTTTCTCCCACTACCACTATATCCACACCCATCCTCTCACTCACTGTCACTATATCCACATCCTTTCTCTCACCCACTGCCACAATATCCACACCCATCCTCTCACCCACTGTCACTATATCCACACCCATCCTCTCACCCACTGCCACTATATCCACATCCTTTCTCTCACCCACTGCCACTATATCCACATCCATCCTCCCACCCACTGCCATTATATCCACACCCATCCTCTCACCCACTGCCACTATATCCACACCCATCCTCTCACCCACTGCCACTATATCCACACCCATCCTCTCACCCACTGCTGCATTCACAGTCATTTCAACCAAATTCAAGACTTCTTCTAAATTTATTTTCTTAAACTACCTGTGAAAACAACTATTTATAACTTCTGCAACAATGTAGTGTCAACATGAATTTAACCTAAAATGTTGCAGCCTTCAAGTGTACTCACCTATTTGTACTCACCTGTTTGTGCTTGCAGGGGTTGAACTTTGGTTCTTTGGTCCCGCCTCTCAACTGTCAATCAACTGGTGTACAGATTCCTTAGCCTACTGGGCTCTACCATATCTACATTTAAAACTGTGTATGGAGTCAGCCTCCACCACATCACTGCCTAATGCATTCCACCTGTTAACTACTCTGACACTGAAAAAGTTCTTGCTAACGTCCCTGTGGCTCATTTGGGTTCTCAGTTTCCACCTGTTTCCCCCTTGTTCGCGTACCATCACTGTTGAATAGTTTATCCTTGTCTACCCTGTCAATGCCCCTGAGGATTTTGTAGGTAGTGATCATGTCTCCCCTTACTCTTCTGTCTTCCAGTGTCGTAAGGTGCATTTCCCGCAGCCTTTCCTCGTAACTGATTCCTCTTAGTTTTGGGACTAGTCTAGTGGCATTCCTCTGAACTTTTTCCAGCTTCGTCTTGTGCTTGGCAAGGCACAGGCTCCATGCTGGGGCCGCATACTGCAGGATTGGTCTTACATATGTGGTATACAAGATTCTGAATGATTCCTTACACAGGTTCCAAAATGTTGTTCTGATGTTAGCCTGCCTTGTATATGCCACAGACGTAATTCTTTTTATGTGGGCTTTTGGGGACAGGCTTGGTGTGATATCAACACCTAGATCTTTCTCTCTGTCCGTTTCATTAACTACTTCATCTCCTATTCTGCATCCTGTATCTGACCTCCTGTTCTCACTGCCTAGTTTCATTACTTTGCATTTAATCGGGTTGAACTTTAGTGGCTATTTATTTGACCATTCATTTAGTCTGTCTAGGTCATCTTGTAGCCTACTACTATCCTCCTCTGTTTCAATCCTCCTCAGAATTTATGCATCATCAGCAAACATTGAGAGAAACGAGTCCATGACATGTTGGCTTAGAAAGTTTTTTGTTGCCACCTCCATTAGTTTGGCTCTCCATGTTTCCTCTCCTCCATGCGGTTCGTTGTTCTCCCAGTCTATCGTTCTGTGATTGAAGTCGTCCGTAATGAATAGATGGGATCCATTTCTAAAGGCAGTAGAGGCTGCCTTCTCAATTATAGTGTTAACTATCATGTTGTTGTTGTCATACTCTTGCCTGGTCTTCTGACATTTGGTGGAGGGTTATATATCACTGCTACTACTACTTTTGGCCCTCCCATTGTCATGGTGCCTGTTATGTAGTTTCTGAATCTCTCACAGCCCGGGATGACCTTCTCCTTGAAACTCCATTCCTTTCTCATTAGTAGGGCCACTCCACCTACTCCCCTTCCTTCCCTCTTTTTCTTTATTACAGTGTAGTCCTGGGGAAACATCGCATTCTTTATGATTAATGAGAGTTTTGTTTCTGCGAGTTTGATTACATCTGGGTTCACTTCTTGTGCTCTTTCCTTTAGTTCACTTACCTTGCTTGTGATCCCATCTGTGTTCGAGTAAATCACCCTGAAACTGACTCTCTTCTGTCCTTTCTCTGATCCTATTGCTTCCCCTGAAGCAGGAAAACAGGGAGGGACCGGGATGTTAGGGCCTATGAAGGGGGACCTGGGGGATCTCGGGTGTGAGGGGGCTGGGAGGATCTGGTACGGGGAGGGTGGTGTAGGGGGGGATGAGGGCTTCAGGGAGTTGTAGAGAAAAGAGGGCTTGGGGGGCGAGGAGGTGGGGGAGGTTTGGAGAGTGAGTGAGAGGGGGGAGATCCACTTCCGCTCTCACCCACTCCCCCACAAGTGGTGGGGGACTGGGTGAGAGGAAGAGGCTTTGGGGAGTGTGGGAGAAGGGGAGGTTTGAGGGGGTATGGGAGGAGGGAGGGTTTGGGGGAATGGGGGGCTCGGGGGGCATAAAAGAAAGGAGGACTTGGGGGGGGAAATTGAGAGAAAGAGAGTGCTGAAGAGGTTGAGGAAGAAATGAGGGCTTAGGAGAGTGGGAGAGAAGGGCAGGCTCAAGGGGGGGGGGATACTGGAGACTTTAGAGGGAGTGGGGGAGAATGGAGGGCTTGGGGGTGGAGGAGAAGGAAGGGGATGGGTGATTAGGGACGGCTTGGGGGTGGGGGAGAAGGGAGATCCTGGGGAGGGGGGAGGAGGGAGTGTGCCCAAGGTGGGCACTCTTCCACTCCCGTGTGAGAGCTGTAGTGAGTAGCAACCTTTAAGTGTGAGAGCTGTAGTGAGTAGTAACCTTTAAGTGTGAGAGCTATAGTGAGTAGCAACCTTTAAGTGTGAGAGCTGTAGTGAGTAGTAACCTTTAAGTGTGAGAGCTGTAGTGAGTAGTAACCTTTAAGTGTGAGAGCTATAGTGAGTAGCAACCTTCAAGTGTGAGAGCTGTAGTGAGCAGCAACCTTCAAGTGTGAGAGCTGTAGTGATTAGTAACCTTTAAGTGTGAGAGCTGTAGTAAGCAGCAACCTTTAAGTGTGAGAGCTGTAGTGAGCAGCAACCTTCAAGTGTGAGAGCTGTAGTGAGCAGCAACCTTCAAGTGTGAGAGCTGTAGTGATTAGTAACCTTTAAGTGTGAGAGCTGTAGTAAGCAGCAACCTTTAAGTGTGAGAGCTGTAGTGAGCAGCAACCTTCAAGTGTGAGAGCTGTAGTGAGCAGCAACCTTTAAGTGTGAGAGCTGTAGTGAGCAGCAACCTTTAAGTGTGAGAGCTGTAGTGAGCAGCAACCTTCAAGTGTGAGAGCTGTAGTGAGTAGCAATTTTTAAGTGTGAGAGCTGTAATAAGCAGCAACCTTTAAGTGTGAGAGCTGTAGTGAGCAGCAACCTTCAAGTGTGAGAGCTGTAATAAGCAGCAACCTTCAAGTGTGAGAGCTGTAGTAAGTAGTAACCTTCAAGTGTGAGAGCTGTAGTAAGTAGCAACCTTCAAGTGTGAGAGCTGTAGTCAGTAGTAACCTTCAAGTGTGAGAGATATTATAATCTCGTCTTGCACTGTTCAACCTCCATTGAAAGGAGTATACTTTATTAATAACTTCATATTGAGAGTGTAGCGCCGCACGGTAGTTAGAGATCGTCATCGTTAATCAACTTGGTAAGCTGCCACCAGCTTGCTTATTTATACACGTTCTGGGAAAACTTTTGACTCCCTTGTGATAAGTTCTCAATATCTGGGCGACAGGATGAGGAGTGAACGGATGTTATGTTGATCTTCGTCCTGTTGTTTCTCTCCCTCTCTCCCTCTCTCCCTTTCTCTCCCTCTCTCTACCTCTCTCCCTCTCTCTCTCTCTCTCTCTCTCTCTCCCTCTCTCTCTCTCTCTCTCTCTCTCTCTCTCTCTCTCTCTCTCTCTCTCTCTCTCTCTCTCTCTCTTTCTCTCTCTCCCCTGTCTCTCCCCCCTCTCTCACTCTCTCTCTCTCTCCCCCCCTCTCTCTCTCTCTCTCTCTCTCTCTCTCTCTCTCTCTCTCTCTCTCTCTCTCTCTCTCTCTCTCTCTCTCTCTCTCTCTCTCTCTCTCTCTCTCTCTCTCTCTCTCTCTCTCTCTCTCTCTCTCTCTCTCTCTCTCTCTCTCTCTCTCTCTCTCTCTCTCTCTCTCTCTCTCTCTCTCTCTCTCCCCTCTCCCCCCCTCCCCCCCTCTCTCTCTCTCTCTCTCTCTCTCTCTCTCTCTCTCTCTCTCTCTCTCTCTCTCTCTCTCTCTCTCTCTCTCTCTCTCTCTCTCTCTCTCTCTCTCTCTCTCTCTCTCTCTCTCTCTCTGATGTAGTTAACATTTTGGGACAGAAATTAATCTGGTGGATGCTCTAGCAAAGCCTCGTGTTGAATGTAGCGACAATGCTGCCAAGAATCTCCAAGCCATAAGGCGCATCTCATTCCAACTCTTATGAAAGGGTTTCAAAACCTTACATGAAGCACAAGCTTGTACTGATTGTATATATTTACTGCGCTGCTAGATGGCTTGCTCCCCCATGATACAGCTGAAGAACTGTGCGTGAAGACTAGTCTCCAGCCTTTTAGTGGGCCAGCCAGAGGCTAAGGGCCCGCGCAGGAATATCCCTGCAAAAAAAAAAGTCTCCAGCCTTGATTCATTATTGTTGGACTGTTGAGGACGTTAATGCATTTAACACTGCGGGAGAGGGAGGAGTGATGCCGGACTTATTCATATGGTCAATATTCCCGAGATCCCACACCTGCCCCAACTTTGTGACCAGCCGCAAACTAGAAGAATTAACTTCAGGAACTTAGTAGTGACCTCAGGCTGGCTGCCTCAGTCTCAGGCTGGCTGCCACTCTCAAGGTGATATATCGACCAGCAATAACCGAAGATCATTCTACCTGCCAAAAAATGTGTTAATTTACTAACATTCTGTCTATTTAATATCATTCATAAGTAGACAACATTGTCTAGTATTCACACAGAACTCTCCCTAGCGTGATATACATCAATGAGAAAAGTTCACCAGGGCTGTGAGTTGGGGCGAGAACCTGCGACTGCGGCGTTAACAACCACATTACTCTACGATGGTCAAGTGGTAGAGTATGCGGTTGGTATGGCCTTGGTCCCAGGTTCGCGCCCACCTCACAGCGCTGGGGGGATTTTCTCATTGTCTAGAATTTGTAAATATATTTAAAGTGTTTTAGTAATTAAAACTTATAGTGAAGATAACATTGTCCTTCCCAGATGTTGTTGATCCGGCCAGCTGCCGGAGCTTTCCCTGCCTTATCTTCAACGATGACTTCAACGATCTCAACAACAATATCTGGAAGCCTGAAATCACCATGTCTGGTGGTGGGGTGAGTAACTGTCTCGGGGGCGGGGTGAGTAACTGTCTCGGGGGCGGGGTTAGTAACTGTCTCGGGGGCGGGGTGAGTAACTGTCTTGGGGGCGGGGTGAGTAACTTTCTTGGGGGCGGGGTGAGTAACTGTCTCGGTGGTGGGGTGAGTAACTGTCTCGGGGGCGGGGTGAGTAACTGTCTCGGTGGTGGGGTAAGTAACTGTCTCGGGGGCGGGGTGAGTAACTGTCTCGGTGGTGGGGTGAGTAACTGTCTCGGGGGCGGGGTGAGTAACTGTCTCGGGGGCGGGGTTAATAACTGTCTCGGGGGCGGGGTGAGTAACTGTCTCGGGGGCGGGGTGAGTAACTGTCTCGGGGGCGGGGTTAATAACTGTCTCGGGGGTGGGGTGAGTAACTGTCTTGGGGGCGGGGTGAGTAACTTTCTTGGGGACGGGGTGAGTAACTGTCTGGTGGTGGGGTGAGTAACTCTGGTGGTGGGGTGAGTAACTGTCTGGTGGTGGGGTAACTGTCTGGTGGTGGGGTGAGTAACTCTGGTGGTGGGGTGAGTAACTGACCGGTAGTGGGGTGAGTAACTGTTTGGTGGTGAGGTGAGTAACTGACCGGTAGTGGGGTGAGTAACTGTCTTGTGGTGGGGTGAGTAACTCTGGTGGTGGGGTGAGTAATTTTTCGGTGGTGGGGTTAGTAACTGTCTTGTGGTGGGGTGAGTAGCTTTCTTGTGGTGGGGTGAGTAACTGTCCGGTGGTGGGGTGAGTAACTGTCTTGTGGTGGGGTGAGTAGCTGTCTGGTGGTGGGGTGAGTAACTGTCTGGTGTTGGGGTGAGCAACAGTCTGGTGGTGGGGGTGAGTAACTGTCTTGTGGTGGGGTGAGTAACTCTGGTGGTGGGGTAAATAACTGTGTGGTGGTTCGGTGAGTAACTGTCTATGGAGACTTGAGTATGGAGACTAGGGGTTGGCGGGGTGGTTCATGGATCACATAAAGTTTACGTGTTGACACTGATAAACAACAGTGTGTATAAATCAAGTACAATTACTTACAATATGACGAAAACAACTGAATGAGTTAAATGCTCAATAAAAGTCATTTTAAGACATTATTGTATTAGAATAAGTATGTGAAATAGTATGATGAATGTGTGATATAGTATGATGAGTGTGTGACATAGTATGATGAGTGTGATATAGTACGATGAGTAAGTGTGTGACATAGTATGATGAGTAAGTGTGTGACATACTATGATGAGTGTGTGATATAGTATGATGAGTAAGTGTGTGAGATAGTATGATGAATAAGTGTGATATTGTATGATGAATTAGTGTGTGAGATAGTATGGTTACAACATACTGGCTACAACAACGCCAGTTTACTGGGGCATATAATTAGATCTCCGTAAAACTAATATATACATAACTGATGCACACTGAAGCTGATTTTTTCATCAGAAAGAAGAAAGCTTCAATACACTGTTAAACTAGTCACAAATCAGTTATCACTTAACTGTCAACTCAACTAGCAAATCAGCTATCCATTTAGTGTCAAACTCAGTCAACTGTCTAATTAACCTACACATCAGTTAGCCAATAAGTAACAAATCAATAATGAGTCGGCTGTCATATCAGTAACGGCTTAAACATAGGTATAGCTGACACCAGGCTCCAACCCGGCGCAGTGACACTATCTTACATAACAGTTGGGAAGGGTGACACGTAAAGGTGGGCAAAGGAATCAGTCACATTCCGTAACTCTGCAACAATACTATATAATCCTTAAGTACCCACAATCACTTACCATCTGACCTACGGATAACTCAGTTAGCGTGACAATATATATATAGCATTACCTCTCGGACACTCAACATTAAGAAATTATACCTTATATTACAACATTAAGAAATTATATCTTATATTACACAATATAAGATACAACCAGAGGACTAGACGTAGGCCGTCTAGTCCTCAGGGAAGTAGTGATGTGCCAGCGGCCTGGACGGCCGAGAGTGTGTACTCGCCTAGTTGTGCTTGCGGGGGTTGATCTTTGGCACTTTGGTCCCGCCTCTCGACTGTCAATCAACTTGTGTATAGATTCCTGAGCCTACTGGGCTCTATCATACCTATATTTGAAACTGTGTATGAAGTCAGCCGCCACCACATCACTTCTTAGTGCATTCCATTTATTAACTACTCTGACACTGAAAAAATTCTTTCTAACGTCTCTGTGGCTCATCTGGATACAAAGTTTCCACCCGTGTCCCCTTGTTTGTGTTCCACCCGTGCTGAAGAGTTTGTCTTTGTCCGCCCTGTCAATTCTCCTGAGAATTTTATAGGTGGTTATCATGTCTCCCCTTACTCTTCTGTTTTCCAAGGACGTGAGGTTCAGCTCCTTTAGCCTTTCCTTGTAGCTCATACCTCTCAGTTCCAGGACGAGTCTGGTGGCATACCGCTGAATCTTCTCTAACTTTGTCTTGTGTTTAACTAGATATGGACTCCAGGCTGGAGCTGATATCAACCCCCAGATCCTTCTCTCTATTTGATTCTTGCAGGATTTCCCCTCCCAGATGATACCTTGTGTTCAGCCTCCTGCTCCCTTCGCCTAATTTCATCACCTTACACTTTCCAGAGTTGAACTTCAGCAGCCATTTTCTAGACCATTCCTCCAGTTTATCCAGGTCATCCTGTAGTCTCTGTCTATCTTCATCCGTCTTGATTCTTCTCATAATTTTTGCATCATCAGCAAACATCGAGAGGAATGAGTCTATACCCTCTGGAAGATCGTTCACATATATTAGAAACAGGATGGGTCCAAGTACTGAGCCCTGTGGGACTCCGCTGGTGACATCTCGCCACTCTGATGTCTTCCCCCTCACCGTTACTCGCTGTTTCCTGTTGCTTAAGTACTCCCTTATCCACTGGAGCACCTTCCCTTTTACTCCTGCCTGTTGCTCCAACTTTTTTAACAGCCTTTTATGGGGTACTGTGTCGAAGGCTTTTTGGCAATCCAGGAAAATGCAGTCGGCCCACCCTTCTCTTTCCTGCCTAATTTTCGTTGCCTGGTCATAAAATTCTATTAACCCTGTGAGGCACGATTTACCATCTCTGAACCCATGTTGGTGGTGCGTTACAAAGTTATTTCCCTCCAGATGCTCTACGAGCCTTTTCCTCACGATCTTCTCCAGCACCTTGCATGGTATACAAGTTAAGGAAACTGGCCTGTAATTCAGTGCCTCTTGCCTGTCACCCTTTTTGTATATTGGGACCACGTTAGCTGTCTTCCAACTTTCTGGTAAGTCTCCTGTTTCCAGTGACCTGTTATACACCATAGAGAGTGGCACACTTAGTGCTTCTGCACCTTCCTTTAGTATCCATGGTGAGATTCTATCAGGCCCAACAGCCTTTGTCACATCTAGCTCCAGCAGACACCTTTTGACCTCATCACTGGTGAGGTCAAATTCCTCCAAGGTTTCCAAGGTTGCCGCCTCCTCATTTAGTGCAGGGGCTTCTCCTTGTGAAGACCTCCTGGAATCTCTTGTTGAGTTCTTCACACACCTCCTTGTCATTCTCTGTGTATCTGTTCTCCCCTTTCCGCAGCTTCATCACTTGTTCCTTCACTGCTGTTTTCCTCCTGATATGGCTGTGGAGCAGCTTTGGTTGGGTCTTGGCTTTACTCGCGATGTCATTTTCAAACTGTCTCTCTGCTTCCCTCCTCACTCTGATGTACTCATTTCTGGCCCTCTGGTACCTCTCCCTGCTCTCTGGTGTTCTGTTATTTCTGTAGTTTCTCCATGTTCTTTTACTCAGTTGTTTCGCTACCCTGTGTGTTATATAGAATGTGTTATATAGAATGATGAATAATTGTGTGAGATAGAATGATGAGTAACAGTATTTTGACCGCACAAGACATCATATTAAGGTGATATATCATTGACAAAATCAGTTGGAACCATGAGGAGGATTCGAACCTGCTCACTGGGAACATATGAAGTGAGGGCTGGAACTCATATACCCCATCAGAGTGTTGTAGGGCATTGTGAGAAACCTTGATTGTGTACCAGGTCGATGCCTTGGGACGCCTCGTGGATTCAGTTCAATCCCAGCCTTTATTACTTGTGTAGCAGGTTGTGGTCCAGTAGGTAAAGGCATATGCTTAAGAGCACCCAAGATGCAGGTTCGAATCCCCCACATGACTCGAACTGATCATCTCACTATTTTTAATGGTACAATGACGGTTTACAGCATACAGAGAAACGCTTGTTAATTGTCTGGCAAGAATGAATCACTTAGTCACCAAGATCTATACCTTCGCAAGCCATTGTACCTTTTTGTTGGTAAAAAATAAATAAAAGAAATGAGATCAATGATTACATATTAAGTTAAAATATGATGAGAAAGATGAGTAACAAATATTATGTGATAGTTTGTTGAGCAACAAACATAAAATGATAGTATGTTGAGTAACAAACATAAAATGATAGTATGTTGAGTAACAAACATAAAATGATAGTTTGTTGAGTAACAAACATAAAATGATAGTTTGTTGAGTAACAAACATAAAATGATAGTTTGTTGAGTAACAAACATAAAATGATAGTTTGTTGAGTAACAAACATAAAATGATAGTTTACTGAGTAAGAAATATTATGTGATAGTTTGTTGAGTAGCAAACATAAAATGATAGTTTACTGAGTAAGAAATATTATGTGATAGTTTGTTGAGTAACAAACAATATGTAATAGTTTGTTGAGTAACACATATAATGTAATAGTTTGTTGAGCAACACATAGTATGGGATAGTTTGTTGAGTCACAAATATTATGTGAGAGTTTGTTGAGTAACAATGACATGATTATTGAAAATAGTATTAAGTTCCGCCTTGATACATTACAGTATTGTAAATAACATTATAACAAGTGACTGTATGATGGTTATGAATACAATGAATGAAAGTATGAGTTGAAGCAATATAATGTTTATGAGCATGATATCTATATGAGTGACTGGTAAATAGCAATATCATGAGCGATTGTATGAAGAACAGACAACATGTACAGATTGATGAGTATAATATATATAAATAAAAATGGAAATGTTCGTTTGTTCAAAATCGCTAATCTCCGAAAATTATTCACCGATTACTTTGAAATTTTCACACAATGTTCCATTCGCATCCGGGCGGGTTTTTATATACATACTATATTAATGTTACGTTTGACGGAAAAAACATGCTTTTGTTTGGAAAAAAAACTGTGTTTTTCATGTGTTTTTCGTGTGAGGGAAATCTTCGAAACCTCTTTACTGATTGCTTTGAAAATTTGACACGACGTTGCATTCGAATAAGCGCGTGTTTTTATATACCGACTAAATACATGCCTTACATGTGAGAGTAAACAAAATTTTTTTTTTTAAACAGCGCCATCTGTTGGACGTAAGAGCAACACACGCTGTAATCTCCCAGAGTTCTTCGCCGATTGCTTTGAAATTCTGACACAACGTTCTATTGGAATAAGCTCGTGCTTTTATATACCTACTATATGGATGCCACACCTGTGACAGATTAAAATCAGTTTTTTTCCAAAAACAGCGCCCTCTGTTGCCTGTAATAGCAACACACACGTAATACTAAATATGTTACGAATTCCATTTCAATGTTTCCGATTGCATTGATAAATTAAATTTTCATTGATTTCGATTTATTTTAATTTTGATTTAATTATTTTCTGTGACATTGTGTTGGAATTGAGCTGTGTTGTTTACCATACCGTTCATTTCATAAGTATAATTATATATGCCACACACCTGTGACAGGTAAACATATTTTTTTTTAAATAGTGCCATCTGTTGCACGTAATTGCCACAAAATGCTATGTTTTGTGGCATATATGTGTTTTGTGTTTAAATATGTTACGATTCCATTTCAGTGTCTTCAATTGCATTGACAAATTAAATTTTCATACATTTCGATTCATTTTCATTTTGATTTAATTATTTTTTGAGACATTGCATTGGAATTGAGCTCTGTTGTTTACCATACCGTTCATTTCGTGAGTATAGTTAATTTTTTTTTATTTCGTTTTTAAATAGTTTTTCGTATATTTCAATGATGGGAACATCAGACCATTTGATGTTCCCAATTTTCTGATGGGAACATCAGATCATTTGGTTATGCATTGGACGAGGGAGTGGGGAATGGTGGGGAGGACGAGGGGACAGGGGAGAATGTAATGGTAGGGAGGACGAAGGGACGGGGGAGTTGGTGATGGTGGGGATGAGGGGGACAAGGGAGTGGAGATTGGTCGGGGAGGACAAGGGGACAGAGAAGTGGAGGATGGTGGGAAGGGCGAGGGGACGGGGGAAAATGGTAGGGATGACAAGAGGAAGGAGGAGTGGGAGGTGGTGGAGAGGACGAGGGGACAGTGGAGTGGTGGATGGTGGGGAGGACATAGGGTTGGGAAGGGAAGAAATGATGTGGAAGACAAGGGTACGGGGGAGTAGGGAATGGTTGGGAGGTCGAGGGAACGGGGGAGTGAGGAATGGTTGGGAGGACGAGGGGATGGGGAAGATGGTAATGGTGGAGAGGACTGAGAGACAGGGGGAGAGTTGCTGTTGCTCAGCAACGCACATGCGTTGCTGAGCCACAGCAACGCTTGGCCGGGTACAGCTAGTGAGTATTACAATGATAAAACCAGTTCTGATTAACAATATACTTAGTGATCGTCTGTTGAGTTATAGGTTTAAGAGTATGATGTGGTATAACGAGTAACGATATGACAAGCTGTAATATTAGAACAATAGTGTGAATATGGGTATGCAGAGTAACTACATTTTTAGAAGCTCGGTTCTGAAAATTAGTATTATGAGTCACAATATGATGAGGGAAAATATTATAAGAAGGCACAGTATGAGTAATGATATGATAATAAGACATTTGTCTATCCTTCGTCTTCACCAGAACTGGGAGTTCCAGATGTACTTAAAGGATCATAGTCTCAGCTACATACGTGATTCTGCTCTGATCATCAAGCCGGTGAGTTATACTTGACTGTGTATGTTTACTCTCTCTATGTCTCTCTCTCTCTCTCTCTCTCTCTCTCTCTCTCTCTCTCTCTCTCTCTCTCTCTCTCTCTCTCTCTCTCTCTCTCTCTCTCTCTCTCTCTCTCTCTCTCTCTCTCTCTCTCTCTCTCTCATGTAGTGCGGTTATTTATTTTTGCAATAATGATAATAATACAAATTTGTTATAGACCCCATGTTTTTCATATTATATTCGAGTGAACTAAAAACAGGATTACAGGAAAATGTAAAAATTCGCTGATAACTCAAAATTACGAAAGAAATACCTCACACAAGGCAAGTCGTACTAGGTAAGATTTGTGGGATCTAAAATGACTAGTGTAATCAGCAGTGAGTCGGTAAATATAGACAAGAAAATATAAATATAGAATATATTTTTAATATAGACGAATGAGGTAATATATACTCATTTGATAACGAAAATTTAAATCAACACCCAAAATATTGATAAAGTCACTTGAACTGAAAATTGAAGAGAAATAATCAACAAATCATCAGAGATGACTTTAATAACACAAATAATGTCTTGTTTCGAGCAACAAATTCATCGAGAATGATGATTTTAGTAACTTAACTTCGTTTTATAAAGTGCCTTAAAGTGCTTTAAACCGACTAATTAATAAAATAGTTAAATGGTTAAGACGAACACCTGAGTGTACACAGAAGGGCCCGAAACTAATAAGTTTGTTAAGAATCAAACTCCACTAAGAAAATCTGACAGATCTTTACTTACTCTCTTAAGCAACTTTACTTTCTTTCTTGAGCAAAATGTTTTTTTTTCTGCCTTGATTGTAGGAGTTCCGTTAGTAATTCTTAATGTTTTCTGAAGGATCAAAATATTCCCAGGATGCTTAGATAATCATTGACAGGTAAACAATTCAGTTCATCCATATGATACTGCCAGAACCAGCTGATGGTGTCCAGGTAACACAGTAACAGCTGATGGTGTCCAGGTAACACAGTAACAGCTGATGGTGTCCAGGTAACACAGTAACAGCTGATGGTGTCCAGGTAACACAGTAACAGCTGATGGTGTCCAGGTAACACAGTAACAGCTGATGGTGTCCAGGTAACACAGTAACAGCTGATGGTGTCCAGGTAACACAGTAACAGCTGATGGTGTCCAGGTAACACAGTAACAGCTGATGGTGACCAGGTTACACAGTAACAGCTGATGGTGACCAGGTTACACAGTAACAGCTGATGGTGACCAGGTAACTCTCACCCTCCACCACGATTCTTCACCCTTCATCACTCTCCCTCACATTCCATTACTCTCTCTCAGGAACTGACGTCCAACCGTTTAACTGAGGACTTCCTGTTCAATAACGAGCTCAACCTGGGGTCGGCGTGCACGGACAACCGGGACTTCGGCTGCGTCCGCAGAGGAACCTCCGAGAACATCATCAACCCCATCATGAGCGCCAAACTTACCACTCAGCCAAGCTTCGCCTTCAGGTGGGTGCTGCTGAGTTGGCCCAGCCTCGGTGTGGCCCTTCTAGCCTCAATGTGGCCCTTATGGCGTCACTGTGAGCCTTATGGTCTCACTGTGGCCCTTATGGCCTCACTGTGATCCTTATGGCCTCACTGTGGCCCTTATGGCCTAACTGTGACCCTTATGGCGTCACTGTGGCCCTTATGGACTCACTGTGAACCTTATGGCCTCACCGTGACCCCTTATGGCCTCACTGTGACCCTTACGACCTCACTGGGACACTTATTGCTTCACTGTGACCCTTATGGCCTCACTGTGACCCTTATGGCCTCACTGTGGCCCTTTTGGCCTCACTGTGATCCTTATGGCCTCACTGTGGCCCTTATGGCCTCACTGTGACCCTTATGGCCTCACGGCCTCACTGTGTAGATCTTGGGGGTGTTTGTGGTGTGGCCTCTTTGTGTGGTGGACAAAACCGGGGCTCATAATGTGTGTGTGGTATAGAAGGCGTCTAATGGAAAGTGCCTCATACTTATGTGTGTTCCACAATGCTTAGATGTTATTTTAGTTTCAGCTACTGGGAACAAAATGTTCCTAGCAACACGGGCAATGGCGAGTCCGTCATTCTCACCTGACACAGCAGATGTGCAATGCATAGAACATTCTTGCGATGCTTAAAACATAAGAATCAACGAAAATGCCGAAGGCCTATTGGCCAATGCAAGGCAATATGGCTTCGTATGGCCTATTGATATCCAACCAGACTCATTCATAAATACGTCTGACCTAACTTGGAGGAATTAACACTCAGCTACCTGGAGCTCCGATTGTACTATCAGAGTAATACTGGAAGGTGTTGTGAAGAAACTAATGAATCTGTTTGGAGCTCTGAGGGAGGAGCAACGACGGATACAGGAGATTAGACAAACGCAAAACCTCAAGAAGAAGCAAATGAGGAGAGCCGCAGTAGAACATCGTTGTCTTGGAATGTCGTAAAGGACAGAGGTTTTAAGAAGACTCTGATAATACACACAGAAATCACAATAGCGCGGTGCATCAAATAAACAGATCCACAAGGGCCGTGATAAGGGTTCGAATATACGTCTGAGAGGATCCCAGACGCGCCTAAATCGACTAGGCCACGACATGGTCAAAAGAATGGCAACCGGGAGTTCCACTGGCCTTACACGGATCCTGCAGCCTCTCCGAGACACTAACTAGGGTTTTACACACTTCCCCCATGCACTTGGGCTCTGTTAATAAGCGGTTCTACCTCTTTGCCCTTACTTCATTACACACAGAAAACAGAAACTTGCTCTAACACTCTCAGCCCTCCCTGCTATATAATAAATGTAACAAAGTAGGTAATCTAACACTGATAACCTTCTATCAAAGTCTTACGTTAACACTTGTCTCTCAAGACACAAACCACAATAGTAAAAGTACACTAATCGAATTCAATAACATTTACGTTAATTGACTGTCCACAGCATTCAGCAACAATTCAATAACGTTAACAAAATCATGCCACAACGACACTCAACTGACAACAACAATAACTCGAAGGATGTTAATTACAACACACTTGACCCCCGTCAAGTATTCTGTGAGTAATTCCCAATTAATTAGTCACCCCCGACAGCCTATTAATCCAGACGAGTTATGATTGACACTTCTGTCACCCAATCGACAGGTCTCTCTGGTCTTATGACAAAATTATATTAACGAGGGTTCTCTTACTCTACTTCATTATGCACTCTACACCCTGCATAAGCAGGTAACATCAACACTGTTTTCCACAACACAGCAACACCCTCATTAAGCAATGTGTCCCCCAGTGACGTTAATGACTTCTTAATTCTCACGGAATCCTTCACCAGACCACCATGTCCTACACCAAGGATTTTGTCATACAGATAACACAACACGGTACACTTTTGCCGCCCACGGCAAATGAATAACACACCCCAACAGTGAAGTGAAATAACAATACTAAAATCACCGCCCAAATACTCAACACACGAATGTATAAAATGTACTGGCCAAGATGTAATATATCACAAATAACCACTACTGGGAAATCTCCCGTTATGCACTTCACTGCCGGGACTGGTTACTCTGAAAAGATAACACACACATGGCACATAGGGACATAGAGCATGAATGAATAAAACACTTTCCTCCACCCTTGAGGGATACAGTAATATTACGTCACAACTCCACACAACTCAATGTGTTCCCGTGTACCCGTACACACGTCCTCGCTCATAGTTGGGCCCTCTCCTCAACTTTACTGACGTTAATCCAGGTGTAACTGACGCATCTACAATTCCAATCACCTCACATGTGTTAATGGACAATGTCAAGACGGACCACTGGCTGCGAAACCAGCTTCTGTGTCTGATACACCGAAACAGAAATCAGGTACTTACTCTTTTTCTCCAGACCGGTCTCATTTACACAACACTTCCATTGATCCTCATCCCACTGAAGCAGCAGTAGACTAAAGCTGAGGTAGACTGAAGTGGAAGTTCGCCTACGTTCTTCACGTGTCAAACAGACCCACAGGTAACTGGCTCGGTGTCAAGACACATACACAGGGTGATGGTGGGAGGTACACAGATGCACAAGGCTTGGCACTAGTGTAGCGACACCACCCGAGCCCTTCACAGCTAGCGGTTATATATACGCCCTTAGCACAGCACGGAACTGCACGATGGCGGCTTGGATAGTTAGAGTCACGTAATCAAGATTTCCTTCAACACTTGAAAACCTTCCTGAATTCGTCTCTCACAGGTACCTTCTGACTAAGGCACAATTGACCAACAAAGTCACTACAGATCGCGGATATAACAGCCACCAACAGTCCATTTCCTCTGAGCGGCTTGGCTATCATGCGGTTCGTGACGATCATATATAACGTTCACCTCAATATAACCGACGATTCCAACCTCCATGACTCCGAATTCTTACCTCAGCGGACCCAGGACGAAGGCACGTCGATAGAGAGTGACTTTGGTGTCAAAGCAGGCGATGTTTCCGATGCTTGGCCTAGCAACGAAAATCACAGCCTCTTCACGGCAAGAATGAATTTTCGCGCCAAGCGAGGGCCCACCTCGGTGAGACACCCCTCAGCCCATATGCACCAATCACAGGCAAGCATCTCCAGAGGCCTAGTGCGTCGACGAATCACGACTCGCCTTAAGATATCACATTCAACTACGTCATGGCAAGAGGGGGCTGATGGGTAGGGGAATCGGCTTACGAACATTGCCCCCACCAACCCACCTCTCCTCTTAAACTTGTACTAAAAATAACCCATGAAACAGATTTATGGCAATAACTTTCATACAGACACGCTACAGCGACCACTGTATCTTTGTTGAAAAGCTCTTGGTAAGGGTTATCTGAAGACACCCATCAAGACTGTCCAGATTTGAGTAGCTCTCAAACCTGTCCCCCTGTACACATACTCATGTGCTCGGCCTTCCTGTCCTGCGCATACACATTACAGTGCACAAGAGAGCTGGAAATCCATCTCCTGACACAGTGAACTGGATTACCACCACAATTTTGTCCCCATTTCTTCTGAGACACTCGGCGCCTGGGGTAAGAGTATCACCAGTTTTTAGAAGAAACTGGACCCTTGGTTAATTGAAACAACAAGAGACCCTTGAGCTATCAGCTCCCTTTTCCAGCACCTCAGCGTGGCGATAAAGAGGGGAAAGGCACACTGCATTCAGGGGTTCATGCCCACCATCTGAGGAGCTGCAGAAACTCGACAACTTATGATAATCATCTTTGTACCCAATATGTAACTCTTTTTTTGGAACAAAGTTTAAATAAAACAAATATATGTATATGTACAAAAGAACAGGGGGTGGAAGGAGACGAAAATATTAAAGTATTCAGTAAGAATCCACAAGGTCTTCTCTGAATGCTCTTTATTTTAGGCTTTGGGCGTTTATTCTTGAATAGGATACGCAAGGCTGCGAGCAGCTGCGCCCAATAGCTTGGTTGACTAGCCAGCAACCAGGAGGCCTGGTCGACGACCGGGCCGCGGGATCGCTAATCCCCGGAATCTCTTCAAGGTATGGGTATGTATGTATGTGTATATATATATATATATATATATATATATATATATATATATATATATATATATATATATATATATATATAAATATATAAAAAAAAATAATAGGGGTGGTAGGAGAGGAAAAGATTAAAGTATTCAGTGAGAATCCACAAGGTCTTCTCTGAACAATATTTATTTTCTTCTTCGAGGATGTGGGTCCCTTTAATTAAACCAGTGGTGGTACCCCTAAATATATATATATAAATATATATATATATATATATATATATATATATATATATATATATATATATATATATATATATATATATATTGAAATGGAAGTGATTGTAGAAAGCCTATTGGTCCATATTTCTTGATGCTTCTATATTGGAGTGGAGTCTTGAGGTGGGTAGAATATAGTTGTGCATTAATTGGCTGTCGATTGCTGGTGTTGACTTCTTAATGTGTAGTGCCTCGCAAACGTCAAGCCGCCTGCTATCGCTGTATCTATCGATGATTTCTGTGTTGTTTACTAGGATTTCTCTGGCGATGGTTTGGTTGTGGGAAGAGATTATATGTTCCTTAATGGAGCCCTGTTGTTTATGCATCGTTAAACGCCTAGAGATGTTGTTGTCTTGCCTATATACTGGGTTTTTTGGAGCTTACAGTCCCCAAGTGGGCATTTGAAGGCATAGACGACGTTGGTCTCTTTTAAAGCGTTCTGCTCTGTGTCTGGAGAGTTTCTCATGAGTAGGCTGGCCGTTTTACTGGTTTTATAATAAATCGTCAGTTGTATCCTCTGATTTTTGTCTGTAGGGATAACGTTTCTATTAACAATATCTTTCAGGACCCTTTCCTCTGTTTTATGAGCTGTGGAAAAGACGTTCCTGTAAAATAGTCTAATAGGGGGTATAGGTGTTGTGTTAGTTGTCTCTTCAGAGG